AAACATACAGTGACATCTGTATATAGATAAACAATGTTTACTAACACATTTCTTGTTGTGTGGGTACCTTGAGCTTGTTTGCTAGAGCAAACAGTGTAGTTAATCCTGTGTACAAAGTAACATATAGACATTAAAGGCTCTTCAGGATTACATTTCTAGAGCCAAAAGGTCCTGAAGAGCCTTTAATGTCTATGTGGTACCTTGTACACAGGACTAACTACATTACATTTCTAGAGCCAACAGTGTAGTTAGTCCTGTGTACAAGGTACCATGTAGACAGTAAAGGATCTTCAGGAAGTTTGTATTACATTTTTTATTTACTGTAACAATATGTATGTCAGAAAACTATAGAGAGTTTTAATCATAAGAAATTTAATGAACCCACTCATTTGGGTTTTGAGTTAAAAATTGAATACAGCTTTAACTATGAAATGAAAATTTGTATCAGTACCACCATTTTTTAGGCATTCAGATTAAACAACAATACTGGTTGATGTTCAAGCAGAAGTTAAAAATTCTAAAATAAATTTAGACGAGATTTAATTGGTATTGGGTTAAATAGCAGCAAATCAGCACACACATTGTAATGACTTTTATATAAGTATTTTTATATTCTCAAGCATAGTAAGGTCAGTATTGACAAGTTATTATGAGTGTAGGTGTTAACAGATCGGTTCAGTTGCAAGTTTTTGATAAGATGTCCATATTAAAGAGTTTGGTCATTTTGGGAATTTAGGCTAGCTAACGATACTGAAGTATAAAAACGTAGAATGATTATAAATGTAATAGGGATGCACAGGTAGTAAAATTTGACTGAATACTGGGACCAAGTTCTCCCCTCGACCCCCCTAAAAAAATTAGAAACAAAATTTACGTTATTACAATAATAATAATCACCAACAAAACATTCAAGTTTTACTTTCAACTGTGAATGCCTAGCCCAACTTCTCAAACCCTAACCCCTATTGTTCTCAAAAAACCCACTTTCCACAGAAATCTACTTCAAGCCATGCCAATAATTATTATTATTTTTTACATTATTGAATTTTTGATAAAGCGACGTTATAGAATAGGGATTTTTTTTTTAATTATTGTCAGGTCCACTACTAAATAACGGAAATAGTGTAATAATATATTCTCCTAGCGCGTAAACTCGTTCATCGTGTAGAAGCATATTGAAACTTTAGGCCTAATTGTCTATTTTTAGGCGCCTGTATTGAGATATGTGGAAACGTGTAATGGTTATAAAATAGTGAATTTTTATAACTGTGATATCAAGGATGTAAAAATCAATTGCCGCAATATCTTTTTTTTTTAATACATTTCTTGTGGGTATATGTATGTGTCTAAATCGTATTTGTATATTGTTTGAAACGGATAACTATTTTCTTTCGCGCAATGTGTTAGCTGTAAAGTGTCAAAAATGAAAGAAATGGCGATGACTATTAAGACTAATTGTCGAAGATTATATAGTAGGTAAACCCGTGTTTCGCACAAGAAGCATTTAAATTTTGAACCTAACTATCGATATTTAGGCGCCTGTTGGAATTTTTATTGAGGTTAATTGGTATTACATTATTAATAAGCCACGGAAAAGTAAAGAATCAACTCAAACTGTTTTCTTACATGTTTGTTTATGTTACTGAAGTAATTGTCTTTAAAGTTAATGTTATAAACGTCGGAGTTTTGCACTCGTATAGAACAACGCAATATATTTCGGTCGGTTGCATTCGTATAAACGTTAAAGTACCACTGTACATTTAGCCAATATGAATATTGGGTTTCCATGTGAAATAACACGTCTACACATATGGACTGACTGCTACATATTGTTCTTTTAATTATAAAGGTTTGCGAATTTAAACTTCGTAAAAGTTTTGGTTTTAAGAACAGATTTTCCATAATGTAGCTATGCACTTTTGGAAAATATTCTTTTTTTTTTCTATCACGTAAGGATTTTTTACCAATTGGAAAGAAAAAGAAACTTCTACTTGGATCAAATTCTTATTTTGTTTACCATAATGAATATTTATTATGTTTAACAAAAATACAAACTCAAAAAACGAAAGAACATTGATTTCAAAAAAATATGAATCCTCATACATTCTGATTTTTTGTGTGTGAAATTACGTCTTTTAGTCTTAAAACTAAGTGTTGTGGCCTTTATTTTATGAATTGCATCTGGAGCATCTCGTTTCAATGAACAGAAGTAATCAACCATCATACTGATGTTCCACCTTCCTTGATATCTCCTCTCCATTTCTCTGATGTCTTGACAAAAACCTTTCTCCTTGTTCTTTGCTGATGACACCGAGATTTTCAGGGAAATAGTCAATATGTGAGCATGGCCAGGTGGTTAGGGCACTCTACTCGCAATCTGTGGGTCGCAGGTTCGAATCCCCGTCACACCAAACATGTTCGCCCTTTCAGCCATGGGGGTGTTATAATGTTATGGTCAATCCCACTATTCGTTGGTAAAAGAGTAGCCCAAGAGTTGGCGGTGGGTGGTGATGACTAACTGCCTTCCCTCTAGTCTTACACTGCTAAATTAGGGACGGCTAGTGCAGATAGCCCTCGTGTAGCTTTGCGCGAAATTAAAAAAAACAAACAAACAATATGTGAGTGTAAGAAATGAACTTAAGCTCCTATTATAACCTAGCTCTGAATTTATTCAGCATGCTATTGACAGTACTTTCGTAATTTATGTATATGTTGTTTCCTAAAAAATTGCCAATAACATCTTTAAAGGCAATCCATGCTTCTTTTTCAACATTCCTCATTGTCCTTTCGAACTGTTCATCCACAGTCAATATCCTAATCTGAGGCCCAATAAAAATCCCTTCTTTAAGTTTCACTTCTGACAGAGTTGGGATTGCCCACATGGATACTTGAAACAGTCGCCATCTTTGTTTAAGGCCTTTACAAACTGCTCCATCAAGTCATTGCTTCTTTATCCAGTGCCGATTTCATGCTCTGCTGTCTCATTCACACAAAAACATGGAAACTTTGTATAACCGGATTGTTGACCAAACAACATACAAAGGACTTTTAAGTCTTCACAAAGTAGTCAAACTCGTCGGGGGTAGACTTCGAGGTAATTGGTCCAGCAATTAGAGTGGACTCGTCTTCCTTTTACTGATTGGTGCCCAGTGACCAAGGACTTGATGTCAAATAACGCAAAAGGTTATCTGTGTATATAGTTTCTCATCTTGTATAGTCTGCATAAACATTTTTCCAACTAAGTGGTACCAGATTACATTTCACATCCATGAACACAATTGTTTAAACTTACATATCCATCTAGTTAGAATCACTTTACATGAGAATCCTCTCCATTATCACTGATATGCACACAATATTAGTTGTTCTTCACAGGTGTGTTTAACTTTAGTCTTTCCTTAGCATTTCACAACTATTATTTTGCAACACGTCTCAAGTCCATAGTTTAGATTGGTTGAAGCATGTGTTTATTGTAAAGTGGCAGTTCAACTCGTGAGAGAGAAAGCTGAAACGTTTGTATAGTATTTCACTACACGGCCACAAGATCAAAGACTAGTTAGCTGTGGAGAAAGTATAATTAAACCATTTGGTTATTTTAGGGTGCTTCAGCAGGTCCTAGCATTCTTGGTAATTCGGTATTGTTGCAATAAACCAGTGAACCTTCTTGCAAAAAGTATGGTATAAATTATTTCTCACGATTTCTGTACAAGTAAAATGGTGACCCTGGAGAAAGTAAGTTCTTAGCCCGAAGTCAGGGCCCCAACATCCGAAGAATTCTTTGGAAGGCCCAAATCTCTCACCAAATCATTAAGTTCACCTTATGTGAAAAGTTGTGGCTCACCAGACGTTTCAGGTTGAAAACAATCCCTATCATCATTTCTATTGACATCAGATGAAACTGTATCAAGAGTTTCCAGTGGAGTAGGTACAGGTACATCAGGACCATGAGCAACAGGTCTTATAGCAGGTTGAAAGTTTGGATAAGAAATTTCCTTTTTTATTTCAAGTGTTGTAGCCTTACACGTTACATGAGCAAAAATAGCAGTCATCTCTGTAATTCTAAATTTTTATTAAGTGAAACTTTATATTTTTATTTAGTTAAAAATAAGTTGGTTAATCTAGGCCATCCTAACCACTTGGCCATGCCGGGCGAATGCAAGGGTAAAAAGGTCTTAGAAGCAGAGAATGCTATTAAAGAAATGAACTTTGCACCAATAACACTGACAGATAACAATATTGTTTCAATCAATCATGGCCAATTTTAACCTCTATCATAAACAATATGAAACAACAGTTATTCACATCAACTTATCCTCAAAAATTTTCATAAAATCGACAGTGTTGTTGCTGAGGGCGCTGCAATCGCCTGAACCAGATGATAGTTGTCAACTAGTACTAGTTTTGAGTTCTGAAAATATTATTGATAATATATTTAGCAGTAGAATGTTAATTTATTATTTCGATATTGGTTTATTATCTATAATTCTCTAATTTTAAGTTTTTATTAAGTAAAACTTTATATTTTTATTCCAAAACTAGTCAAAAATAAGTTGGTTAATCTCGGCCGTCCTATCCACTATATTAAACTCTAAAATAAAAGTAAAACACTCAAATGTTTTCATAAAATCGACAGTATTGTTGCTGAGGGCGCTGCAGTCGCCTAAATCAGATGACAGTTGTCAACGGAGTATTAGTAATACCAGTTTTGAGTTCTGAGAATATTATTGATAACATATTTAGCAGTGGAATGTTGATTTATTATTTCGATATTGGTTTATTATCTATAATTCTGTAATTTTAAATTTGTATTAAGTAAAACTTTATATTTTTATTTCAAAACTAGTTCAAAATCTAAGGTTCTAGCATCCCCAACCTAAATCTTAAGTTAAACTTAAAAGTTAGTTAAACCTTAAAACTAAACAAACTTAAGTCTTACTCTTAAGACTTTTTATTTATATTACTTAGTGTTACTAGTAGTAGTACTATTTGTATTACTCTTAGTAATATTTTACTTAGTCTATGGTATAGATTAATGGTGTTTGTTAAGTATTACTATTAATCTGTTAGTCATTTAATGTAAACACTTTTAAGAAGTGATTGACCTTAGCCTTGGGCTTAGCGTGGCGGTTTGTTTAGTTAATTTAAATACTAACTGACTGATCATAGCCAAGACACGTATTGGCTCACTCCGAGTGTAGAACGGAGAATTTACTATCTAAGGAGGAAAAATTTAAAATGTAAGTATTTTTACGCCTCTACAACCTGCAGACAGTGATAATGCGATTAAAATATCGTTAATAATTAGGTAATATGAAGAAAGGGCATTGAAATTATAAAATTTCAGCTAAAGTTTTGCGTAAGGAAAGGGTAGGAAAATGTGTATATTGTGTAAAGTAGCAGTACATGCAGGGCTAGTGATGACTGTAGTAAATGTCAGAGGATGGGTACTCAATTATGTTAATGGTTAGATATATTTAAAGTCATGTCATTCAATTTTTCAAGGGTTCATTGTGTTGCCTAGTAGATGTTTTTTAACAACATGAATTTGTAAACTATAGAACTGGAGTATACACCTTTCAGCATGTCGTTGTGATACCCCTATTTATTATTAGGAACTGTATGTATTCAAATTAAATCTGTATTGAGAGGAATGAATTTAAACATCAAACAATCTTCAGACTGTAAATGGTTAGATAGATGTGATGGGAATATAACTGATTGTTTTTGTATTGATTAAGTTAATACTGACATTGAAGATACTCAGTGATGTAAAAGTACAGGTTTGCCTATTATTGTGAAATATAAAACTTTCATTGTACAGTATGTATTTTTTCTTCTTTTCCAGGCATCATTTGTTAAACAGCAAATCTACAAATGAGATTGTTCAGTCACCAGAGTATTTGAGCTTTAGGAGCACTATACCACAGAAAAAGGTTTGTTTTGTGTATGTTTACATTTTTACATTATGTAATATATAATCTTTTATTGGTTATTTATTAACATTTAAATTGTTTTGTGAATTAGGAGATATAATTATATTTGTTATGTTTAAAATGTCATTACTGTTAGTTGTTAGGATCATTTATGTCTTGGAATATCAACAATAAACACCAAGATCAACCTTAGCAACTGATACCCATGCCTAGGAATATCAACAATAAAAACCAAGATCAACCTTAGCAACTGATACCCATGTCTTGGAATATTAACAATAAAAACCAAGATCAACCATAGCAACTGATACCCATGTCTTGGAATATTAACAATAAAAACCAAGATCAACCTTAGCAACTGATACCCATGTCTTGGAATATCAACAATAAAAACCAAGATCAACCTTAGCAACTGATACCCATGTCCAAGAATACTAACAGCAAAACCTTAGAATCTGTAAAGTACAATATTTTTCATGTACTGTCTAAACAAAAAATAATAATCCTTATCAAATATTCATTTATGAAAAAAAGTAAAGTGTATTATTTATGTCTTCAGTAGAATCCAGTCTGTATAAGTAATCTTTAATAAAACCAGTTTCACATGGCCTTATTATATATATATATATAAATACAGACTCAGTTCCCAAACTTTTTATCTTAAGGTCCCCCTCCCCAATATTATAGTTTATAACTGGAAACTATTATCTAGTTGTTATCAACTTGAATTAGTGAACTTGTAGCTTTTAAGCTAGTCCTGAAGAAGCTGTAAAGTGAAATATTGACCATTCTAGGGGTAGAGGTCATTATTTTATTTATCCTAATAGTTAAGCCTAGCAATAAACTCCAGTTAACATTAAAAAGAGTTAAGTATATCATTGCATAATCATATTTATTGTAATAAATAAAATTGTTACCAAAAATATTTATTTTCCTGATGTTGGAAGTTTTCAAGTGAATATTTCTACATGTGTTATGACCAGCTTGTACGATAGACTGATGTAGATTACTACTGTATGAATAACACTAGCTTCTTAACAGATTTTAACATCAAGATAAAATGATCGATTTTTACTTGTATGAGTTGTACCCTATTTTCTAACTGCTGTAACAAAATGTTTAATATTTATATTCATATATTTTTTATATTCTTATGAACCAACTGGAGTTTCTCTTTGTAAATAGGAAACAGTTTTTTTTGTAATAAAATGAACATTCAAGTTTACATTGGTTGGACTAATATGTTTTTATTTTTAAGATTGTTGTAGATGAAGATCCAAAAAAAGTGTGGACAATATATGATGCTGGACCAAGGAATGTTAAATGCCCTCTGATTTGTTTACCACCAGTTAGTGGAACAGCCGATTGTTTTTTCCGTCAGATTATGGCACTGACTGCTCATGGTTACCGTGTAATATCTGTAAGTTTAGACGTTATATTTCTCTATATAAATATTGATGTGTCCACTGCATCTATGTGTTAATGTATCATAAGTGGTATTTCTTTTGCAAAAGATTAGTTATTTAACTTGTATATATTTTTTTTCTTTCTGTTAAGTCCACTTTTTTGTATCACATTTAGAAATGAAATCCAGATTTTCATTTTCAGGCCATTATATTAGCACACATTGTGTGACCAGAAATATTTAGATTTCATGCTTTTGGAGCACCTTTTTGTTTTATAATATTTTATGTTTTATTTATCCTTACTACAGAAGCCAGTGATTGTTTTATCATCATTTGTTATTTTGTGATCAATCTTTATAGGTTCAATATCCTGTTTACTGGACTATGAAAGAATGGGTTGTGGGCTTTCAGAAGTTTCTTGATCATCTTAACTTGGATAAAGTAAGTTATAGTGTTCTGTAGGCTAAATAATAAGAATTAAAAATTATTATGAGGTTTAAGGAAGGTTTTGGCTAGTGTCTCTAACAAAAGTGGTGTTAATGATGACAAATGCTAGATAATAGTATAACAGTAAAACCTTGAATATTTAAAATTAACACAGATCCACATATGGACCATGTCAATACCCCCCCCCATAAAAATAAAAAAAAAGGGAAAATTAAATTCACTCATTAACAAACATGATCTATGTTAAACCTCAAGTGGGCCATGTTAATAAATTCAGTGACCAACATGATTTGTAGCAATTAATTAGTGTGCAGACTTTACTGGTATAGTTAAAACTTGTTATGGGCTGGGTAAACTGATTACAAGAAGACTTTTTATTGTTTTGCTCTCTGTCATAGGCAACATGTAAATCTGATGTCACTTGTTTTTATAAGGTTTATCCAAGATTGAACAGAACTTTATAAGTTAGCAAAATTTAAATAATAATCAACTGTTTGAAAACAATTGTTATAGAAATTGGATTTTTAACATATTCTGTGGAATATTGTAATATTAATTAGTTTCCTGTTAAATAATGATGAAATATTAATTAGTTTCCTGTTAAATAATGATGTAATATTAATTAGTTTCTGTTAAATAATGATGTAATATTAATTAGTTTCCTGTTAAATAATGATGTAATGTTAATTAGTTTCCTGTTAAATAATGATGTAATGTTAATTAGTTCCTGTTAAATAATGATGTAATGTTAATTAGTTCCTGTTAAATAATGATGTAATGTTAATTAGTTCCTGTTAAATAATGATTAAATGTTAATTAGTTCCTGTTAAATAATGATGTAATATTAATTAGTTTCCTGTTAAATAATGATGTAATATTAATTAGTTTCCTGTTAAATAATGATGTAATATTAATTAGTTTCCT